TTATCACACAATATATATATCACAGAAGACTAACAGAACACTATCTTTTTTCTGACAAAACACTTTCCGAGAGAACACTATTTTTTGCTACCGACGTGTCGATGCGTTTTCAAATGATGTACTATGATCTGCTGCGCTTCGATCCTTCTTATATTCGACCAACAAGCTTTCAGAGACTGTTGGGGGTTGACACGAAAGAAAATTTTCTTGCAAATGTACCTAGGATCGTAGAAAAAATGCGCTATTATATTACACAGATTGCTTGAAAAGGTTGGACTGAAATATCTCAAAAATGTAAGTTTATGAAATAAAGTCATAAAAATATGTATAAGAGTAAAAAAAAAAAAAAAGAGTATAAAAGGTTTTCTATAGTATCCCATTTACAAGAAAAAATTTTCTTTGTGTCCGCCGATAATCTCTGAAAGCTTGTCCGCTTAATCTCTATTGTTTATACGTCGAACGGGAAAAAAAACCTGGAATTATCTATTACGGGTGTACCTCGAGAGTACAAAGCAGCCGAACATCGGCGCTGATATGTAAACGAGGGAGACACCTCCGATTAGTCAATCAAAGCCAATTGTGTCCAATTGTATTGTGTCTAATCGAGTAATCCCCAGACAAAGCAGCCGATCATTAGCGCTATTAAAATTTTTCCTTAAAAAATAAAATTTTTCCTTAAAAAATAAAATAAAATACAATAAAATAAAAGAACAATAAAAAGGATTAGGTCCGCAAAATCTTTTTCAAAATATATAATAAAATACAATATATATAAAAATATATATAAAAATATAAAAATATATATAAATATATATAAAATATATATAAAAATATATAATAAAATACAATAAAAATAAAATAAAAGAACAATAAAAAAGATTAGGTCCCCAAAATCTTTTTCAAAATATAATAAAATACAATAAAATAAAATAAAAGAACAATAAAAAAGATTAGGTCCCCAAAATCTTTTTCAAAATATAATAAAATATAAAATATAATAAAATATAATAAAATACAATAAAATAAAATAAAAGAACAATAAAAAGGATTAGACCCAAAAAAGGATTAGACCCAAAAAAGGATTAGGCCTAAAATCCTTTTCAAAAGAATACCGCTCTTTTGTTTATGCTTGTCATTAACGTGACCCCCCCCCAACCCCCGCGTGACGTCATACCCCCGCTCCGCTGAGATCCCCTCGCACCTCACCTCCCTCAGAGGACCTGGGTTAGAACCGGCCTACTACATCTACTCACTGTACATGCATAATAATTATAATAAACAAGAATACATAAGTATAGAATATATACATAAATATGCAATCAAATCGTCTTTTCAAATGCGTCTTTTCATAATGTGTCTTTTCAAATTCAAATCCGAAACCTACTCTTTCTTATTTATTTATTTCCCGAGAGATTATATTTTTTCTGTGTAGGCGGTCGATCGATATTATCGATTGATTCGTCAGCTGATATCGAATGTAATATTGAGCGACAAAATCTTGATAGCTAGGATGGATAACTATATATACAAGGTGTCCCTAAAATTCTATCACGCACTTGTGAGGAGGTAGAGAGCAATAAATTGAATAAAGAAGTCCTATACTGTTCGGGATCGCACCTGTGAGTTGCGATTTTGTTTTGCCGGGACACACCCGAGAGGGTATCGCGAATTTGCAAATCGCGTGATTTCGCACTGGATGAGTGACGGGATGAAATAACGTAAAATTGTTCCTTTGATTGTAACACAGTGACATCCACACAAGTGGCGATAAGTTTATTGCGTAAAAGTACACGATACAAGATTTGTTTAGCTTTCGATGCGTGTGCGACATTAATTTGAGTATTCGAGCACGTCGAGACTCGGTTTAGCGAGATCGCACTACACAATTGTTCACTTGGTATAAACGATGCAACACGTTATCAGCTGTTTGCGTGAGAGCGAGCGAGATGGCGCTCTATCAGCTGTCCGCGAGAGCGAGCGCAACAGCACGATTTACGGTTGCACGCACGAGATGGAGAGAGACAGCGTTCCATCAGCTGTCTGCGAGAACGAACGAGACGGCGCTCTATCGGCCATTCGCGATATCGACCAAGACCGCACTATTCATGGGTGCACGCACGAACTTGAGAGAGACAGCGCTCTATCGGGCTGTCTGTGAGAGCGAGCGAGACGGCGCTCTTTCAGCCGTCCGCGTGATTGCGAGCGAAACCACACTATTCACGGTTCGACGCGAAACTGAGTGAGACAGCGCTCTCCACTGTTCGACGAATGAGCGGAGGCTCAATGAGAAACAGGCTCCACCTCTAACTTAGAGTGGAGGCGTTCCGATGAATCCCGGCACTCGCGCTCATACCGTTTACGTGTTGAACGGAATCGATTATCTTTAAATGAATTGTCCAATGATCCGTCACGATATCTGATACAAAAATTCGTCTATGAAATTTAATCGCGATTTACACGTTTTACTGTTTCAAACGCGCTTGCAAAATCTCAGTTCTCACCGCTCGATAATCCGAAAATGACTTTGATAAGAATTCTCTATAACTTTCCACGACCCTCGCAATTATTCCGTAATGACTCTGATAAAAACTAGACAAAGACTGCTCTATAACTTTTCATGACTCTCGCAATGACTAGGTAGAATTCAACAGTGACTTCGCGGGAGAGAGCCTTTCTCCCGTATATAAGGAATCCATTACGCATGATCCGAGTTGAATCTATCCGGTTAAGGCACGTCGAATCGCGTGATTTTCCGATTGCCTAATTGGCCAGGATCATGTATTATTCCGCGACCACGCGGATCCTGGCTGATTTTGAAAAAATATCGTACGGAATTATATTTGTGAGTTTGCTTTGGCGCGCACGGATGGCGCCAGTATTACCGGGGTGATATTTTCGCTCGAAATTCAGGGCGAATCCTGAACATATACCGTTTAACGATTTTCACAATAATAATAGAAATATTAATTATGAAAATCAGACGAATAAGAGACGCTCGACCGCTCGAGCCAGCACGACCTACCATATCACATAATGTCTGCCGGCGCGCAGCGAGGGGAGGGATAGCGCGTCGCTATTCGTAGTTATTGCCATCGCCATTTTCGTTGCATGCCGGCAGGCAATGTCTGACACAGTGGGCCATGCTATAGCTCGAGCGGTCGAGCGCTTCTCTCATTCGTCAAATTTTAATAATTATATACTTCTATTATTATTGCGAAAATCATTAAACAGTAGGACTTCTTTATTTAATTTACTGCGCTCTATCGCCTCACAAATATGTGATAGTGTTCAGGGACACACACACACACACACACGCGCGCGCGCGCGCGCGCGCGCGTGTGTGTGTGTGTGTTTTAAAAGTCCCGGAACGCTATCTCGAAAGCGATCAACTGTAATGAAAAATATGTAAGGAACAAAGTTGTAAGACTAAATAAAATGTACCTAATGATGATAAGAATTTGACCTTGGATAAAGTATTCAAGATCATATGAAAGTCAAGTTGATTTTTTAAACTCAACTTGAACTCCTCATTTTTTATTGCATATTTTTATAGCTTATGTCAAGAGCTTCCATCCGTATCAGTCGAATATCTCAAAAACTAAGCGCGGCAGACAAAAATTGTAGGGCTTAAAATAATTTAATGGTCATATTAGTTTGCCTTTGAATAGCACCGTCAAGGTCATATAAAAGTACATTAAATTTTTTAAATGGAAACTTCCATTTTTTATTGCATATTCTTGTAGCTTAACTCGAGAGATTTTCAAAACATTATAATTAAATTAGTTTTTATTAAGTACTTTTCGAGTTATGAGGTTTGAAATAATTTTTTAATTTTATTTTTTAATTTTTTAATTTTTACATAAACCATCAAATATCTAATAAAATATTCATTTTTCGATTATCTTACCTTAATACTTTTATGTACAAAATAATGGGAAGAATCGATTGGTATAAAGAAAACACATAGTTGTTTCGAAGAAAAAATATGTAATTTACAATTAACAATTACATATTTTTTCTTAAAAACAACTGTGTGTTTCCTTTATACCAATCGATTCCTCTTATTATTTTGTACATAAAAGTATTAAGGTAATAAAAAAATTAATATTTTACTAGATATTTTATGATTTAGATAAAATTGAGAAATTATTTTATCCCTATAACTCGGAAAGTAAATGAAAAAATACTTTATTATAGTGTTTTGGAAAGCTCTTGAGGCAAGGTACAAGAATATGTAAAAGTATATAGGGTGTCCTATTTAAAAAGTTGGAGGTGACTTTCACGTGACCTTCAAGTGAAAAACTAACATGACTCTTCAAGGTCAAACTAATAGCATCATCTTATGTTCCCCTTTAAGCGATACAACTTTTGTCTGAAACATTTTTTTATATTCGCTTTGTTTTCGAAGAAATTGCTTGTGTCACTATAAATGCCCCACCATGTATAAATATAATTGCGCCATAGTTGATGACAAATAATTGATAAAATAATTAAATTTTCACAATTAATATTCTGAATAATTAAATTTTTCCAGTTTAATATTCTGAATCGTTTGTTGAAATTACATTGAAAATTAAGTCGATGGAAATAAATACAGCAAATTTTTAATCCTGCATTTTTAATCAAGCATATTTTATATTCTCCATATTTATTTGTAACAAAAACTTAAATAAAATGCTAACTGCAAGAACGATAACTTGGTATACGAGGTGTGTTCAAAAAAAGGTGACTTCAAATTTCGCGGGCTACGTACATTCGATTTTGGAATTTTTCTTTTTTTTGTTATGTTGGTACACATGTCCCCAACATATGTTGACATTATCAGCTGTTTTGCATGTTTGGTTTGTTTTTCACAGATATAAGAGTTAAACGTGTTTTGGTGTGCTTGGCGATTTTTTGCTATCGAAAAATTAAATTTTGTGTGAAAAATAAAATTAAGTGCTCTGACGTACTTGAAATGTTGACTGCGGCATTTGGCGAGTCTACTCTGAGCAAAAAAAATGTTTACAAGTGGTACAAGCTCTTCACAGAAGGTCGTTAATGACGATGCCCGCCTTGGACGCCCCACGTCAACAATCGATGACAACGTCGAAGCAGTGAAGAAAATTGTTATGGAGAATCGTCGAATCACTATTAGAGAAGTTGCTGAGGATGTCGGCATATCGGTTGGCTCATGCTATGCAATTTTTTCGGGTGTTTTGGGCATGCAACGTGTGGCGGCGAAGTTTGTTTCGAAATTGCTGAATTTCGACCAAAAACAACGTCGCGTAGACATTGCTCAGGAGCTGTTGAATGCCATCAACGACGATCCAGATTTGCTCAAAAGGGTCATAACTGGTGACGAATCATGGGTAACTGAAAAGACCCATGAAAGGACGGAGATTTGCCACGATTGAGGAGATAAAGACTGTATCGCTGGAAGAGCTCGAGACCATACCAAAAAGCGCATATCAAAAGTGCTTCGAGGATTGGAAAAAGCGCTGGCACAAGTGTATAATATCTGAGGGGGATTACTTTGAAGGGAACAAAATAGACATTGATGAATAAATAAATATTTTTCGAGAAAAATAAAAAGTCACCTTTTTTTTGAACACACCTCGTATTTTATTATGTCGTTGTGCTTTTGGGGCGGCAAGTGACTTGAATGGCAGAGCGCTTGTCTACTAAGCCACGGATTCCGAGAGTCTTAGTACGGTCGCCCCATTATTCTTCCTTTGCTGGAAGAATATACACATATTCTATTCTAAAACATAGTCTACTCTATACCTAATCATGCAGTATGAGCGGGACTCACTCGCTCCTTGCCAATCAAATAAAAAGCCAAGATAAGTCCCTGTGTTTTTACCATTGTTTTATGACAAGTGAAATCATGCTGTATTTTATGTTATGTTTCTCCTGTTAAAAAAATAGTAGTCTTTTAAAAAAAAACAATATATGCTTGATTTCTGCTGCATTTTGCTGCTGTAGCATCATGTTATGTTATGTTTAGTTTTACTTTAGTTTTTGTTGACATATTGTGGCAACATGTGATCTTCAAATTCTATTAATTTAATGAATTTCTGCTTAATTTTTTCATTTTATATAGCATATAACGCATAAATTGTTGTCGCATTTTTGTAACAGAAATTATTTAAAATTATGCTTCATTGCTGCCAAAGATCTACCTAAGTTTAATATAATATGTAGTACAAATTTGTGTTACATAACATTATTTATAATTATGTTTAGGTGAACGTATTGATTTTATTTTAAATGCGAATCAAACTTTGGCTCAATATTGGATACACGTACGAGGACTTGGAGAATGTGAAGAAAAAAGACTATATCAATTAGCAATCCTTGCTTATAAAGATAGTTCTAAATCGTCATTATCATCGCAACCAGGATATTCTTTTGGTGTATCTAAAAATATTGTGAGTACATAAAGAATTTTACAAATCTAAAATTCTAATATTTCGTTTAAATTAAATGAGAAGAAATAAAAATCTTAAAAATGTCTGTTCTTTTTTTTATCCAAAAAAAAACATTTAAAAAATTTTAATGTTTTAAAATCTGAAAAAATATAAATTTTCTATCTCAAGATAATTATCTGTCATGTATAAAATAATAGCTCATACTATTGATCTTTCATTCATACTGTTCAACTTATTGATCTTTCATTCGTACTACTATAAAAAATAAAGATAAATAAAGATAAATTATACAATAACATAAAGCTAAAATTAATCTTATTTTTATCGCGTATTTATATAGGTTCGCATCCTTATTTAGTACATTTATATATAGAGTGCGGAAAATATATCGAAATCTATGAATATTTCGAAAACATATTGGTAAATATGTCGATGAAGGGAGCCCGCCTCGATTACTTTGATCTTGACATATGTTGTCAAGGTCACTGCTCTGAGTAACATTTAAAAGGTTTTAGCTGTTGCTCGTTGTTTATTAAAAAGTTATAAACAAAAGAAGTTTTATAAATTTTACAGAATTTTTGGACACCATGTACAATAATAGAACTTTTATATTGAAAGTTATCAAGGAATAAACGTATTGAAGAACATTTTAATTTCTTTGATCTTTACATATATATCGATTATTATTGAGGATTTCATGTTGTGTAAAAAGTTGCAAATCTATGTGGAAGCGTACAATAATAGACCTCGCTTCGCACTGACTCAAGAGTGGTGTGAGGTGGACCTCGTTTCATTTTCTACATAGGTTTGTAACTTTCCACGTCATTATTGTACGCTTCCACATAGATTTGTAACTGTCCATACAAAATGAGATCCACTCCATATCACCTCTAAACAGTAGTAGTAGTAGTAGTATAGATTTATTGGTCCCCTAAGGGTTTCAATCTCTTACATATATATATATACAGGGTCTACCAAAAGTGTGGAAACCCCTAAATATCTCGGAAAATATACGTTTTACAGAAAAGTGTTTCCAACAAAAGTTGTAGGGTTTAAGAAGATCTATATACTGATTCTATCAGTTTGACCTTGGATGGCGTCGTCAAGATCAGGTCAAGGTCACATTGACTTTTTTAAATGACACCCCCTACATTTGATTACATATTCTTATAGCTTAATTCAAGAGCTTTCCAAAACACTATAATAATGTTCATTTTTATTAAGTACTTTGCGAGTTATGAGGGTTGAATGATAGAGTAGCGCCGGTATTAACATTATCCAAGGTGTACTACATGGAGGTTACTCGCTCGGATTTGCATCTGTTGTGTGTGTGATCCAGCTAACTAAGGCAAGATCGATTCCTCAACATATCCTCATATTTCGCTGAAGTCAAATTGCCAAAAAATTGCTCCATAAAACGTGTATGAAACGTCTCGTTAGTTCCTTCATTTACCGCTATGTGACGCACTACATGCAGTCTAACTCGCATTTAAAATTCAACTAAGAATGTATAAAGCTATCAAAGAACGAGCACCTTCTAACTTCAGCTTTGAGCAAGCAGAAATTAATTGTTATCGTCCAAATACAACGTACGATTAATTAAAATTAAACGTTTTAAAAATGGCTGGCGACTTGTCGGAACGTGAAAGAATCACTATCCTCATGATGCGTGGATGGGGTGATAACGAAAGATCGTTCTCTGATGTCGTTCGATTATTTAATGACACGTATCCGAACCGTCGAATTAATAAGTCCACTGTGTTAAAAACAATAGAACGTTTTAGACAAACTGGTAGCGTAAGAAATCGCTCTAAGTCAGGAAGACCATTGTCTGCAACCAACGAAGAAAAACAACTTGATGTTCTGCAGACATTTATTGAAGATCCCAATTCTAGTGTTCAGAGAGTCGCTCAAACTCACGATATTGCTCCCATGTCGGTTTGGAGAATTTTAAAGAAGAACAAGTTCCATCCATATAAATTGCAATACGTTCAAGAATTGCAAAACGGAGATGAGGAGCGTCGTATACATTTCTGTGAAAGAATGATGGCACTAATAGATGTCCGGCCCATCTTCCCTTATCAAATTGTTTTCACAGACGAGGCAACTTTTACCTTAACGGGAGAAGTTAATAATCAAAATTTTCGTTTCTGGTCAGATGAGAATCCGAATTGGGTGCGGGAAACTCACACACAACATCCACAAAAAATAAATGTATGGTGCGGAATAATAGATGGCTATTTAATAGGGCCGTTTTTTTTTGAAGAATATTTGAACGCTCAAAGGTATGAGAGATTACTTGTTGATCAAATAATTCCAGCCATACAGAATACTTTTCCAAATAATTTCCAAGAAATATGGTTTCAGCATGATGGAGCTCCTGCTCATTTTGGTGCAGGACCACGTCGTATTTTAAATGAGACTTTTCCGCTACGGTGGATAGGAAGAAGGAACGGAAATGAGGGAGGAGAGGATTGGCCACCTCGGTCACCAGATCTAACTCCTCTTGATTATTATCTATGGGGATATCTGAAGAGTAAGGTTTACAGAACAAAACCTAAAACCATTCACGAATTGATACAGCGAATAAGGGATGAAATGGCTTTGATACCTTTTGAAACGAATCGTAAAGTCATTTCTACATTCTACCAAAGATTAGCATATTGTCAGGAAGTAAATGGCAGCCACTTTCAGCATTTACTTTAACACATTGAAACACATTTGCAATCGTTTGGTGCAACCTAACCTGATCTCTGTATACACGCACCGTACGCACGCACACGCACACATTTCGAACAATTATTATGATAAATGAGCATCCACAAATTTATTTACTGTTTACTATGTCGATTGCTTTCCAGGTCTTTAAATGCTCGATTGTAATTTGGTTGGGTCTTTGCTTTTGCTGACTGGATCCACGACCGATCTTGCCTTAGTTAGCTGGATCACACACACAACAGATGCAAATCCGAGCGAGTAACCTCCATGTAGTACACCTTGGATAATGTTAATACCGGCGCTACTCTATCATTCAACCCTCATAACTCGCAAAGTACTTAATAAAAATGAACATTATTATAGTGTTTTGGAAAGCTCTTGAATTAAGCTATAAGAATATGCAATCAAATGTAGGGGGTGTCATTTAAAAAAGTCAATGTGACCTTGACCTGACCTTGACGACGCCATCCAAGGTCAAACTGATAGAATCAGTATATAGATCTTCTTAAACCCTACAACTTTTGTTGGAAACACTTTTCTGTAAAACGTATATTTTCCGAGATATTTAGGGGTTTCCACACTTTTGGTAGACCCTGTATATATATATATATATATATATATATATATATATATATATATATATACATCAAACCACAACAATAAACAAATTTCAGCTATTAACGTTCACTATAACCTCTTTTATCACTCCTCCTACACACACCACCAGCACACAGCCTTTTATCACTCCTCCTACTCACCCCCTTTGAACCTGGCCATATTTGGTCTTACAATTTTATTTCCCCCCACCCCTCCCTCGTACCTAACTCCTCCTTACCTTCTCCTTACAAGACCCAGCTTCACACACACTTTTACATATACATATCTTTCCACATATCTCTTCCGAACCTGGCCTATTATGACCTTACTATTTCTGTTTCCTCTCCCTTCCCTACGAGAACCTTCCACTCCTCTTCTCATGCGATCCTCTCCCCTCCTTACTCCTCCTCATCTCCCCAACCTCAGGCCCTATTCCTCCCCTTCCCTCTTCACCATTCTCCTTTCATTACTCATTTTCCTTCCCCCTTTCTCTTTCTCCTCCCTGCCCTTCCTCGTCCCATCTTCATCTTCCCCTTATCCCAAAACTCCCTATTCGTTGCAACCACTTTTTTCCCCTAGCTCTTTCCCTCCTCGCTGCCACTACCATTCCCAACTCCCCTTCCTCTCTCTCCCTCCTACCTTCCCTCATCTTTTCATTCCTCCTCCTCCTTTTCCCATTCCTGTCCTTCCTTATCCCATTTCCACCTAATCCCCTTCACTCATAACTCTCTATTCTTCGCCACCACTCTCTTCCCCTTCGCTCTCTCACTCCTCGCTGTCTCTACTATTCTCCAGCACACTCTCTGCACTATTTTCCTCTTCCTTCTGTCCACCCGTCACTCTCCACAGCTCTTAACCTCTTCTACCATGTGTCTCTCCACCACATTAACTACTCCCTGCTTCCACCACGTGCTTCCCATCCGATCCTCCATATCGATATTTATCGCTCCTTGCTCCTTTACCGCTCCGCCGCATCGTTATATATCGATCCTCGATCCTTTACCGCTGCGTCGACACCACTCACCGTTGATCGATACCTCGCTCTCCTACCTCTGCTCACTGCGCCAAATTGTTTACATCTTCTTGTTCTGTTTACCCCTCCTTATCCCTCCTCTGGTCTTTCTCTTCTTTTTCTTCTCCCGCCTACGAATTTTCCTTTCCTCCTAACTTCCTCTGCCGCTCACTCTCTTCTTTTTCTTCATTGTCCTGCACTCCTCTCACTATCCGCCTCTCAATGCATCATCTCCTCCCCCTCACCACCTCCTACTTCTATATATCCTCCTCATTTCTCTTCATCACTCCCACCAACTCTTCCATCACTCTCCTTATCTCTCTTAGCTCCTCCACTACTCCTCCACTTCTAACCATCTTCGCTATCCTTTCTCCTCTTTAGTTACCGCCTCGTGTCCTCTTTACTCTACCTCAATCCATATCACTTCTAAATAATTTATTAAATATTTCTTATTAAAAATGAAAAATAAATAATTGAATAACCGCATATATGTAAAAAAAAATTCCATTAAGTACACAATATGTTTAAAGATTACGTGAAATTCGTGAAACATTTCTTGTTTATAACTTTTTAATAAATAACGAGCGACACCTGAAATTGTATACAGAGTGATATATATATATATATATATATATATATATATATATATTAATAATTATATATATAAGATAATTATATAGTATAATTTTTTTGTACAGGGTGTTCATTTTAAAACTTTCTTCTTCCGTTTATTTCATGATTGACTATTTTTTGTGAAAAATGCCAAAAAGTGTCAATTTTGTATTCGAAGGGGCTACGAATTTAAGTACATATATTAAATGTAACGAAATTTTTTTCATCCCTTTTGTCGAGGTAGCATTTTGATATTTGTTATAATAATTAACAAATAAATAAATTCTACTCCAAATTATATCTTTTTATGTAAAACATTTTTGACACCTAAAACTTCTAAGTGTAATTTCTCGAAAAATATTCACTTAAATAAAAAAAAAGCGTTGTACAGAGAATCAAAAGACCTTTAAAGTGTTATATTACTTGATGCCTATTGCCATTTAAGATTTTTTAAGAGGTAGCTACGACAAAGAGGATGAAAAAATCTTGTTGCATTTAATGTACTTAAATGTCCCCCTTGAAAACAAAATTGATGTCTTTTAGCATTTTTTTCACAAAAAATAATCAATCGTGAAATAAATGGATGGAAAGTTTTAAAATTAATACTCTGTATATAATTATGTATTAATTATTTTATATAACCACATTACATGTATTACGTTTATAAAAAATTATTAACTTAGTTTTGTAAACATTTCAGTTTAATCCACCGAATTCTACAGAATGTGGAAATGGTCTTTGTGTATATGAGTTAAACAAAATCTATTCTGCTGATGAAAATATAATATCATTAACACGTAATCCAGATTATATGCTTATACTATCTTTTGATTTTTTTAACTACAGTACAAATAATGGAGAACGGTTATTATTTAACTCCAAAAATCAAGAATATAAACCTTTTTTTGGTAAGAATTGTTAAAAAGGATTATAGTTGTTTTAATTAAGTTTACAATCTTTAAGTTTACAATACTAATATTTTTTTATTATTATTTCTATGAAATATTAATATTTTTCTAAAAAGAGCCTAACATGAAAATCTTCAATAAACTATCATTTATTAGTTATAAGAATGCTTTTAGTACTGCTATTATTTATATGAAGTAAAGATATTTAATATTTTAAATATTAAATTTGAGGTATTTAATCCCTAGTAGCACAAACATTGGCAAAATATTGGTATATACCTTGGCTTAATATTGGTTATATTGGAAATGTCTTGGCCAATATTTCCCAATGTAAAATTAATATTGATTGTTAATAAAATGCAAGTGTTCTGCCAATACTGCAGTCCCCATGATGACCAATATTGGCTACTAAATAAACATAAATGTGTTGCCAATATGGTTGCATCCATCATAATACCAATATTGATTATGAAATAAATGTATTTGTGTGCCAATATTGCATGTTCACACATTATATGTGAGCCTCGCGCGTCGTCCCACTCTCGGGTTAGGTGTTTTCCCTTACCTAACCTAACCTAGTGGCGAACGGGAAAACACCTAACCCGAGAGTGGGACGGCTTTATATACTGCTTTAGATGGAGTCCCACTCTCGGGTTAGGTGTTTTCCCGTTCGCCACTAGGTGGGAAAACACCGAGCAGTATATAAAGCCGCGGCACAGGCTGTGCCGCACAGTCTGTGCCGCACAGGTCTCACGAGTCACGACTTATCAGTCAAAGAGTGCGGACTATTAGCCGCACCTCCTCTACCTTTTACGAGGAGCTCCAGAACTCCATAAATTAACCACAGACGGTTAATTTTTTTCTTTATGGCGAATTCCGTCATATATTAGAAACTGATCTATATCCAATGTAAAAATATTTTAGGTATGTATAATTAGCCAATCTTGGTTAAAGATGAAAATAATATATTCGTCAAATATTACAATTCAATACTGGCTCAAAATGAAATCGTGTCTACTTTGCAATATTGGACCAATATTGCAATAGTTGGAAATATTGGATATATGTATATTGTTAGCCAATATTGCTCCAAGAAAATGTGCTCCTAGGAATATTTTAAATTGAATATAAGATATTTTAAATATGAAATATTTAATGCTTTTTAAATTTAATCTCATTCTATTACCTATAATAAAAATTTTTTTAATTTTTAGTTGCGGTAACCGGATCTCATTTAATTAGTTTGGTCAACAATATTTCATATCAAAATCCATCAGCACCTCTTATCTCACAGAGTGATGGATATCAATTTATGTGTGATGATGTTTCCGTACCATCTACATGCACAGAACCATGTTTTTGCACTCACGTTTATCACATCCCGCTTCATGCAACTGTAGATGTGATGATCTATGATAAAAGTATGTTTGTAAAAAAGATATCAAAAATATGAAAAGGAAAACGTCAAGTATCCATTTTTCTTTATAATCAAAATTAAATTCCTTTACAAAAATAAAACCTGTTCAGAATTAAAAAAGTAATTGAACTGAAGCATACTGAATTACTTTTATAGTATCAATATTTTTTCAAACCATTAATTTATATTTATTTTAATGCAATTCTTTACAAAATTGCATTAAAATAAATATAAATTAATGATTTGAAAAAAATATTGATACTATAAAAGCAATTCAGTATATTTAAAATTCAAACAAACGTAGAATCTCTTTAACTATAACAGTTCTTTACAAAAATGGCACTTCAAAAGAATATATGTAAATAAAAAATGCTAAAATTACTAAAGAAAGAGTCCAAGTTTAAAACATAGTAAATGCATTAATACTAATGTTTAAAGCTTTATAAAAATATAGTTTATTGTACACATATAATGCTAACTTTATAAAAATATGTGAAAATAAATATTTAGAAAAATATATAAAAATTCTTTTCATAAATGTAATTATAAAATAAATGAATATTAATATCAGAAAAATTCTTTTTATTAACATATAGTAAGTCTGTATTATTACTGATATTCATGTTGTATAAGATTTGTATAAAAGACACACTAATTAATATTATTCAAAAAAATTATCTAATATTAATTAAATATATTAATTATTAAAATATTACAATATATGTGATATAATATACTCATCAAAATTATCGTAAAGGTAATTTCATGTCAAATTTTTCGCATAATTTCAAATAAGTATAACTCCAAAATGGTCGTATTTGAACAAAACTTTTTTTTATTCTCAAGTTTAAGTCTCTATTTTAAAAATCATTTAAATCAATCAGATTTAGAATTTACCCCGTCCCTCTCTCGTCATCTCTTTAAAAGTAAGGACGTCTCCAAAAAGTTACATAATTTGACGCATTCCACGGGGTGGATAAATTTTTTCGCAAATTTTATGATAATCATCATAAAATATGGACTTTTATGTGTGAATTGAAAGAAAAAATGAAGTTTGTACGATTTTTTTCGCGGAATTGTATACATCTCTCTCTCTCTCTCTCTCTCTCTCTCTCTCTCTCTCTCTCTGTGTGTGTGTGTGTGTGTGTGTGTGTGTGTGTGTATGTGTGTTGAAAAACGGGAATGTGGAAATGATCACAGCGCTAAATCAAACATGGAATGAAATTCCTCAGGCAATAATTAGACCCTGCAATAATATGCATGAGCGTCTGCAAGAGATTATTCGAAGACGAGGCGGCAATACACATTTTTAAATGTGAACATTTTCATATTCCCGTCTTCCGAAACACACGATGAGCTAAATCTGACTAGTAACTTCCTCGTGATGCGAATCAGATAATGTTAGTGTTAAATGGTGGTAAATGAACAAAAATGTTTAGATATAACTTTGATGTGTCGTAACTTTGTGAAAAAAATCGTACTTCATTTTCTTTTCAATTCACACATAAAAGTCCATATTTTATCCATAGAATGCGTCAAATTCTGCAATTTTTTGGAGACGTCCTTACTTTTAAAGAGACGACGAGAAGGGGAGGGGGTAAATTTTAAATCTGACAAATGATTTTTAAAATAGAGGCTTTAAGCTTGAGAATAAAAAAAAAATTTTTTCCAAATACCATGACCATTTTTGACGGAGTTACACTTATTTGTAGTTATGCGAAAATTTAACATGAAGTTACCTATGCGATAATTTTGTCGACGAGTGTATATATGAATTGTTATCTTTATTAATTGTAAAAATCTATTACAGGGCCTTTAGAGGATTTGAATCATCCATTTCATTTACATGGTTATAGTTTCTGTGTAATATATACTGGTCAATTTATTAATGCACTTAATAAGAGTGATATAACAAATAAGGATGTAATGAGAGAACTGAATGCTCATATGACTCGTTTACGAAATGATGATTATAAAAATTGTGCTCCTAAAGATACTGTAATTGTACCAAATACTGGTTTTGTCATTTTACGCTTCAAAGCAGATAATCCAGGTTAAAATAATTTTTTTACAATTATATTTTATATTAATATTTAGTATAATAATTATATATTTTATTATTTAATATTTTATACGATTTTATGAAGAGAGTGTATTATATTATAAAACATATAAAAAATTACAAGTTTGAAATTATAATTTTCATGAATAATACATAAAAAAGTATAAAAATATATAAGTATAAAAATCGCTTTAAATTTAAATTAAACCATCTTTTATTCTAATTTTTATATTTTTGCACTTTCAATAAATAATTGAAATAGGAATAATATTTATCTTTCAGGCTGGTGGTTTCTTCATTGTCATTTTTTATGGCACACTGCAACTGGAATGAATGTCATCTTACATGTTGGTACTCCATATGATCTTCCACCTGTACCACGTGACTTTCCAAAATGCTGCAATTGGACACCACGAAATTAATTTATTGAGTCCTATAAGTGAAACAAAAATTTAAATAAAAGTCTATTTTTAATTTTGACTAAATTTTCAACTTTTTGTCAATTTCTTAAAATGTATGATATATTATATGTCAGAAATGTGAATTAATAATAAGTTAAAATATATATATATATATATATATATATATATATATATACATATATATATATACAGGGTCTACCAAAAGTGTGGAAACCCCTAAATATCTCGGAAAATATACGTTTTACAGAAAAGTGTTTCCAACAAAAGTTGTAGGGTTTAAGAAGATCTATATACTGATTCTATCAGTTTGACCTTGGATGGCGTCGTCAAGGTCAGGTCAAGGTCACATTGACTTTTTTAAATGACACCCCCTACATTTGATTGCATATTCTTATAGCTTAATTCAAGAGCTTTCCAAAACACTATAATAATGTTCATTTTTATTAAGTACTTTGCGAGTTATGAGGGTTGAATGATAGAGTAGCGCCGGTATTAACATTATCCAAGGTGTACTACATGGAGGTTACTCGCTCGGATTTGCATCTGTTGTGTGTGTGATCCAGCTAACTAAGGCAAGATCGGTCGTGGATCCAGTCAGCAAAAGCAAAGACCCAACCAAATTACAATCGAGCATTTAAAGACCTGGAAAGCAATCGACATAGTAAACAGTAAATAAATTTGTGGATGCTCATTTATCATAATAATTGTTCGAAATGTGTGCGTGTGCGTGCGTGCGGTGCGTGTATACAGAGATCAGGTTAGGTTGCACCAAACGATTGCAAATGTGTTTCAATGTGTTAAAGTAAATGCTGAAAGTGGCTGCCATTTACTTCCTGACAATATGCTAATCTTTGGTAGAATGTAGAAATGACTTTACGATTCGTTTCAAAAGGTATCAAAGCCATTTCATCCCTTATTCGCTGTATCAATTCGTGAATGGTTTTAGGTTTTGTTCTGTAAACCTTACTCTTCAGATATCCCCATAGATAATAATCAAGAGGAGTTAGATCTGGTGACCGAGGTGGCCAATCCTCTCCTCCCTCATTTCCGTTCCTTCTTCCTATCCACCGTAGCGGAAAAGTCTCATTTAAAATACGACGTGGTCCTGCACCAAAATGAGCAGGAGCTCCATCATGCTGAAACCATATTTCTTGGAAATTATTTGGAAAAGTATTCTGTATGGCTGGAATTATTTGATCAACAAGTAATCTCTCATACCTTTGAGCGTTCAAATATTCTTCAAAAAAAAACGGCCCTATTAAATAGCCATCTATTATTCCGCACCATACATTTATTTTTTGTGGATGTTGTGTGTGAGTTTCCCGCACCCAATTCGGATTCTCATCTGACCAGAAACGAAAATTTTGATTATTAACTTCTCCCGTTAAGGTAAAAGTTGCCTCGTCTGTGAAAACAATTTGATAAGGGAAGATGGGCCGGACATCTATTAGTGCCATCATTCTTTCACAGAAATGTATACGACGCTCCTCATCTCCGTTTTGCAATTCTTGAACGTATTGCAATTTATATGGATGGAACTTGTTCTTCTTTAAAATTCTCCAAACCGACATGGGAGCAATATCGTGAGTTTGAGCGACTCTCTGAACACTAGAATTGGGATCTTCAATAAATGTCTGCAGAACATCAAGTTGTTTTTCTTCGTTGGTTGCAGATAATGGTCTTCCTGACTTAGAGCGATTTCTTACGCTACCAGTTTGTCTAAAACGTTCTATTGTTTTTAACACAGTGGACTTATTAATTCGACGGTTCGGATACGTGTCATTAAATAATCGAACGACATCAGAGAACGATCTTTCGTTATCACCCCATCCACGCATCATGAGGATAGTGATTCTTTCACGTTCCGACAAGTCGCCAGCCATTTTTAAAACGTTTAATTTTAATTAATCGTACGTTGTATTTGGACGATAACAATTAATTTCTGCTTGCTCAAAGCTGAAGTTAGAAGGTGCTCGTTCTTTGATAGCTTTATACATTCTTAGTTGAATTTTAAATGCGAGTTAGACTGCATGTAGTGCGTCACATAGCGGTAAATGAAGGAACTAACGAGACGTTTCATACACGTTTTATGGAGCAATTTTTTGGCAATTTGACTTCAGCGAAATATGAGGATATGTTGAGGAATCGATCTTGCCTTAGTTAGCTGGATCACACACACAACAGATGCAAATCCGAGCGAGTAACCTCCATGTAGTACACCTTGGATAATGTTAATACCGGCGCTAATCTATCATTCAACCCTCATAACTCGCAAAGTACTTAATAAAAATGAACATTATTATAGTGTTTTGGAAAGCTCTTGAATTAAGCTATAAGAATATGCAATCAAATGTAGGGGGTGTCATTTAAAAAAGTCAATGTGACTTTGACCTGACCTTGACGACGCCATCCAAGGTCAAACTGATAGAATCAGTATATAGATCTTCCTAAACCCTACAACTTTTGTTGGAAACACTTTTCTGTAAAACGTATATTTTCCGAGATATTTAGGGGTTTCCACACTTTTGGTAGACCCTGTATATATACACGGTGGGCCATTTTAATCGATGCACTCGAATATCTCGAAAACAGCATTCTTCAGAAAGAAATGTTTCAAACAAAAATTGTAGGGTGTGAAGGGAGACATAAGACGGTGTCATTGGTTTGACCTTGGATAGTCGTTTGAAGATCACGTGAAGGTCACCTTTAATTTCTTAAATGGAAATCCCCATTTTTCATTACATATTCTTGTAGCTTATCTCGAGAGCTTTCCAAAACACTACAGACAAATGTTTTTTCATTAAGTACTTTTTGAGTTATAAGGCTTCAAAGTTTGCAGTACTTCGATATAAAATGCAAAATATCTCGTAAAATATTTAGTTTTCGGTAGTCTTACCCTAATACTTTTATGCACAGGATAATGAGACAAAACTATTGGTACAAAGAAAACGCATGATTGTTTATAACAAAAAGTGCATTGCAAATTACACATTTTTTATTATAAACAATCATACGTTTTCTTTGCACCAATAGTTTTGTCTCATTATCCTGTGCATAAAAGTATTAGGGTAAGACTACCGAAAACTAAATATTTTACGAGATATTTTGCATTTTATATCGAAGTACTGCAAACTTTGAAGCCTTATAACTCAAAAAGTACTTAATGAAAAAACATTTGTCTGTAGTGTTTTGGAAAGCTCTCGAGATACACACAGGGTGTGGGGTAGCCGGGAGAGGAAAATAATCGCTCCAATTGTTTAACAATAGAAATTTATTACACAGAATATATTTATTTAACCCTTATCTTTAGTTGGTTTTCTCAAGCCTTAATGTCATCCTTTCCTGGATCCTTTCGTGATTAGTTATTATGTCGGGGGCTTCGTAGCTCGGTTTGGCGGCTAGCCCTCGGATTCGCACTATGTCTTATCAACGGTTAGTCTTCGCGCACTATTCTGACTATAGATTCACTGTTTATGACTGTCCGCCGCGGATCCGCGGTGGACGGCTTTTATTCCCTTAATTTCGGGGATTTTTTGGAGGGGATCGCCCGGCGACATGACCATGTATGGTCATGGAGGTTTTTCCGGGTCGTCCAAAGTCCAAGTGCTAACGAAGGAAGTTCAAAGTTGAATTCCTTCGTTAGCGTTTTCGCGCTTCCGGGTGAACGTTCTTACGCTTGGATTGCTGAGGCAGCGATTCTATCAGGCTGCCGCATTTCTCAACAATATTTCATGCTGACACTTAATTTAATTATATATAGGTATTAATATTTAAATAGATTATAGTCTGCGAGGCTATAACATCATGTATATGTTGCACATAAAAGTTATTTATGTAAAATAAAATTGTTTATAATTTTAGTGATTAAATTATATTCATTGTAACACGTATATTACATACTTATTTGTGCGTCCATCTTTATTAAGACTGTTTAATTGACTGTTTATTTCATATATTTGAATATGTTGATTAATATTATGCATAGAGGTCGAATAAAACACAGCTTTACAGTGATATACTAATATTTTAATATGTTGTACAGAACAAAGAACTGTACTACACATAATAATAACGAAAGAAAGAGCGTACAAGTGTGTGCTTAGGGCGATATCACTATTATTTAACTAAACAGAAAAAGTTATAGTAAAAAGTTGCTTACAATAATTATAATTATCATGTAAAATATTGAACCTACTTAACATTTCCTCTTAAGAGGATGCCGAAACTTCCTTTTTTACCGATAAAATTTTGTGCACCGAATACTTTTTATTAGTTGCACAGAATAATAAATACTTTTCCACAATTAAATTACACATAGCAACAAATATGAGAGTGAACCATTTTATGTTCAAAATGAAAAAAAAAATAGAAAATTTAGAAAATAGAAAAAATAGAACAGTTTTTTTATCGGCTTCTGACATCAACTCGTAACAATATTAGCTGAATATAAAAGTTTTGCAGTTTGTACGTACAAAATAAGAGCACACTCAACTCGGAATTTCCTGAAGGAATATAAATAAACAGTCAGAAATGCGTTTAGAAGCGTAGTAAAAATAATTTCCGTGCACAAAAATTTCGTGCATATGTGTGTGTACGAAATCGAGACATGTGAGCATAGACTTATACAAATAGACTGCGCATGCAATGCAAAGCGCTGGGGGCAACATAGGAGTGGTGGGGATAGCGCTTGTGGGCTTCCGTCTCTTTCTAACCGCATGCTGTCTCTCTTCATCGTGGAAAGTGGTGGGGCGGACAAACCCTCCACCGCGCCCCGGGCCATGGCTCTACTCACGCTATGAAAGTAATGTTCTCCCTCCTCTCAGAGCCAATTTTCTAAAAACCCTTTCCATTCTTATCTTGCGATTTTAATTGAATAAAATTAGATCTGATATACAGATAATCTAGAATGATATTCTGTATGTAAATCAACCCAACCTAAACTCTTGAACATAAGCCCCCCCTCCCGAATACACCTTAAATATAAGTTTCATATATCTATTAATGATGAACATCGTAGCCTAGTCGACTAAGGTGTTCACTCGCATCCATGTAATCCGGGTTCGAATCCCAGGTACATTTTTTTTGTAATAATTGTAATAATTATTATTAGTTTTATTATTATTTTTATTTTGATTGTTATTATTCTGTAAAAATAAAATGATTCGAATTACGTTGTAAATAGCATTTTCGCTGTGAAGTCGAATCAGATTTGCGTAATTTTTATTAATTAAATAATTAAGTTTCTACTAATATAATCAAAATAGTTTTTAGTAATTCTATCAAAATACTTTATACACTCACGGTACAGTAACTGTATATTTTATATAAATATATTTCTTAACTTTAATAATAAGATTTTTAATCAAAAAATGTGATCAAACATTTTGCTACGTACCAAAAAATTGCATACAATTTATATAAAGCACATTGAATAGAATTTTTGTAATATTTAATATTATTTAAATGCGATAGTATGAGCATAATAAAATACATAAAAGACATTTATTGTAATTGCAAATAAAATTCAATAACAATTTGTTAGCTTACAAAAATTATGCACATTAATTTCTACAAGAAACATTTTCCAGGATGAAATACAGTAAAATTAAAGGAAACAAATTATTTTAAGAGGGAAAAATAATAAAACGAGAGTGAATAGAATTGAACTTTTTATTGTATAGAATGTGAATTATGCATCATTTTGGTAAATCTTAGCTCTGTATACAACAGAGTTACGAAATTCTAAAAAGCATCAAAAAAAGAATTGAACATAAACAAATATTACTAATGAAACAAATTTTATTGATTTTTGTATATGACTAGCCTGTGATGAAAAGTCCTTACGCGTTTAACTTTCTGTTGAGCAGAGCTAGCTTCGTGATGTAACCTAACAGTAAAATATTTTTTTAAAATATTATCAACCAATTGTGCTTTGTGACTAAATAAAATATCCTTTTCAACATAGATATGTAAATTTGAAAAAATATTCATAGGTAACACTAATCGCCTGGCACGCAACACCATAATATCAACAATGTTTCTATGACTAAAAAGGTTTGGCGTCATTCTTACGATTTTTTCAGCAACTTTGCAAATACTTACTACATCTTGACTAGGAAATACTAAGCCACTCTTTGGTGTATCTTCTGTTTGCCTATTTTTTATATTTATTAAATCACAGGAAGTTTCTTGTGTCTCTAAGCAATCAAGACACATCTGACAATGCAATGTTTTTTTAATACTATACACGATATAACCAGCAATGTAAGTGACGACATCGTAATGGTAATCAGTCCAAGACCAACCATTACTACCTACATAATCATGATCAATATCAACCATAATATTTTCCGATTTACGAGCATTCAAACTTTTAAAATTTTTTGTTCTAATTATTGCTGTGCCGTCCTGTGCGCTACAATTGCCTTCAGAAATCTCTATAGTATTTACATGACTGACTAGTTTTTTATAAGATGCTTGAAATTGATAACAAGTCGGGTTGTTATTAAACCCTCCCATTTTTCTAATACATGAAAAAAATGTCTCCAGATGGTCCTGTGACAATTTGTATGTTAACAAATAATCCATAAGCTTATATTGAAATAAATATCTTGAAAGATTTAATACGTTTTATAGCCCAGTAATTATTCCCCAAAATCCAATTCGACGACTACTTGCCAGTACGTCTTTGATTTTGCCATTTTCATTTACTTTTAAATATTTGATGTAATCAACTAAGTAATCAATGTGTTTTTCTAATTGTTCAAGATTTAATTTGGATATGCCATTTTTCAACTCAGTTTTTCCAAACCTACATCTTGAGTTGAGAATATCAAAAGCATCATTAAAATTTTTGCAAAATAAAGCGGTTGCACTTGCTCACTAAAATCGAGTGATTTCATTTCTAAGTATCTTAAAGCGTCAGATACTCGCGTACTTAAAGTTTGCACCGCTAATTTGACCTTCATTTTTTCGCCGTAAAAGTCAATGTGCCTTCGCCTAATTTTTGTACCTGGATGCGTACCTTCTTGCTCTTGAAAATTCACTAATTTTACAATAAAACGCCAAGTAATTGTTTTCTTGTCACTATCAATGAAGTCGTATTTAGCTAATGATTTCGAACTAATTTTATCATATGGCATGCATCGGGTATGACAATAACTGGTTCATTTGTCGCTGGGTGTTCAAATGAACATTTTTGATCGATGTCCGTAGTATTAGCGCCAAGTTCAGAAACCATACTCAAATTATTTCATGCACCATCGAAAGTGACAGAACGAACGTCACTTATTCCATTTTCATGGAGTGTTAACAGGATTTCCTGTAGCATATTTGATCTTGCCTGGCCACGAAGACTTTTTATAAAATAATACGCTACTGGAGTTTTAAAGTGTCCATTTAGACACACGAGCATAGCCACCAAAGCATAAGAAGCTTCTTCAGAATTGTTTTTTCCCAGACCTCCAATGTCAACTAATCCATACCATACATTATGTTTCAATTCAATGAGCTTTTTTACTGACATTTCATCCAATTGGAGTCCAAATTGCAACTCTTTCCCATTTAAACATTCTGCTTCGATCATGTTTTTCAAGCTTATTAGTACATTTTTACTAATGCCAGGACCAAGATGAATATTCCCAAACCATCTTCTAACCGTTTGAGGACAAGGCAAAGCTTTTAAAAATTGATCCCTTACGAATTTGTATGCTGCACTTGAATAAAATAATAAGGAACAAGCAAAGTCTTTTAGTGCTGATGAGTAGGAGTTACATTTTTTGGTAGAAAGAATGTTTTTCATTATTTCAGGAAGAGCGGGTGAGGAATGTAACTGAAAACAAAAAAAGAAAAACAAAGATTATGTAATAACAAAACAATTGATAAATTTTTATTTTTATTTTGTAAAAATCCTAAATAAAGGAAAAAAAATTACAATCTTACTTTTACAGCATCAAGTCCTTCTTTAGAAATAAGTCCAACTTCTTTTAAGTGATCCAAAAAATCTTCGAAAGTGCTGACTTTTTTCTTGAAACGACTAATGTTTTTATCTTTTAATTTCAGTTTGTTTTTTGTTTCTTTGTAATATTTTTCAACGACTAGAAAAGCTTGATCTGAAGTAAAATCATCCCTAATCACATCTCCAATATATCTAATGTGTCTAGGACGCTTTGGGATATGCTTAAACTCTGAATTACTGTTTCTTCTGCAAATAATACGTAAAACTTTAAATAACAATTTTTCTTTAGACATTGCATTACTACAAATAATATTGGTGTACATATAAATATAAAAAAAATTAATAAAGTTTTACCTTTTTAATGATACAGGATTAGCATTTGGAGAGAGAGCAGCTGTTGAGATGTCAATGGGATTCTCTGATCCTGATTCTAAAGTTATTACTTCATTATCTGTTTGCGAGTCTTCATTATGCGACTCTTTATCACAGATGTTTTGGCTGCAATGATATAAATATATTACAAAATAGTATGATCTTCAAACATTCAAAAGATTTTTCAAAAAAAAGTACGTACCAACTTTGGAAACATTCTTGGTTATTTTGAAGATCAGTTGAAGAAGATGTAGCAAGTAATAAATTTTCACATAATATATTACTACTACTATCTAATGTATCTGGTGTAGTTGGTTCAATATTTTCTGCCTCACTGCTATACAGGGAATTAATATTAGTCAAACATGGATAACTGCTTTGAGTACAAAAGATTATTCAATACATTTTTACCTTGTATTCAACATTAATGATGGAACAGCATCTGAGGTCAAACTCTTACAGATTTTGCCATTTTGAATTTTGTACTTGAAATCTGTAGACTTGAAATGCCTGCTGCAAACTCGGCTGCTCTTACTTACAGTTTTATTAATAGCTGAAAGCCATTCGACCTTGGAGCTTTCATTAGATGGCAAACTAAAATTACAAAAGCAAGACATGTTAATACATAACCTCAAATTAGAATAAATTAGTTTACCTACAAAAGCATTTAAATGTATACTTGCCTATGAAACGAAAGATGTTCAACTTCACCAAAACTTATTTTACAAATACAACAGCACAAAACCATTTTGTTTTTATTTTGTTGTTTACTATATGTACATCATGTAGCTTTACTAAAAAGGGACTGGAGGAAATTGATGTATTCCCTTCTGCTTCAGCCCACCACTTTCCACGATGGAGAGAGACAGCATGCGGTTAGAAAGAGACGGAAGCCCACAAGCGCTATCCCCACCACTCCTATGTTGTCCCCAGCGCTTTGCATTGCATGCGCAGTCTATTTGTATAAGTCTATGCATGTGAGTAAAACAGTCCTGTAAATTAGTTGCTTGCTATCGCGACAGACGGCGCTATAATCGGTTTGTGTGACAAGGAGAGTCAATCTCGTACCATCTTTCTCTTTCATCTTGCGTGTAATAGGATACGTTATACGCGTATACATGTACGCGCACACTAAAGCATTAAATTCTTGCATTTTCTTTCTCAAATTCCGCGTAGTAGATACTTGCTGTCACACAATGGCGTAACAAACTGCGAGAAAACAGCGTTACAACGTGTTACGTAAAAAATATTCTGTGTAAGTTATATATATACACAATATATACACAATATATGTGTGTGCGTGCGCGCGCGCGTGTGTGTGTGTGTGTGTGTGTGAGGGAGAGAGAGAGAGAGAGAGAGAGAGAGAAAAACGCTCGGCCGTTCGAGCTATTGCATGATTCAATGTGTTAGACATTTTGTCGGCGCGCGGCAAGGGGAAGGACAGCGCAGCGATGACGTTGTAACGAATGACAACGGCATGTCTCGCAGTTCTTCTTTTTGTCACGTGCCGACGACATGTCTAACACGTTGGATCATGCAATAGCTCGAACGGCCGAGCGTTTCTCTCTCTCTCTCTCTCTCACACACACACACACACACACACACACACACACACACACACGCGTAGATACATATTCGATCGATTTTATTGAATGTTATTATATAATTTATTTATTTTATAATTTCTATTATTGCGAAAATCGTCAAATGCTATGGGACCTTTTTTCTTCAATTTACTGCGCTCCTCACAAGCACTTACATATGTATAGTACTCTGCAACACTTTGTATGTACAATGAAAAGGATATTTGCATATAACTTTCCACAAATTATAATTTATGCACGACATTTGTTAAATCAATATAATCAAAAGCTAACAATATAAAATGTTTATGCAAATTGTTTGATGTAATATCATATTCGTAAAATTTATAAGTACATAATATTTATAAATATTTTCACAATATATTTTTACTATATACAGGGTGTCCATCAAATTTCGACCTTAACGAAATAAAGAAGTAGATTGACTCAAATTAAGAAGGAATGACCTGTATTGTTTTGGGATTGTCGCAATAATTAACGAAATATTAAATAAAGAAGATCGGCCAATCTGCGTGCGTAGAAGCGCGCGGCGACGAGAGTCGTCCCTGTAATCCGAGCGCGGCGAAGCGGTGGGCGGATCGCTCTCCGAGACATGATGGTGGTTTGCGATATATCGCAATACCGCGCCGAAAAATGAAAAAACCCGTCCTTTTAGTGGCGAGAAAATGATGCGCTATCATTTCCACACCACCTTGCGGTAGATAGCATGGTGCGCTTTTTTTATAGTGGTTTCCCCCATAGGCCTATTCCACTCTCAATTTGAAAATTATTCAAAATACCATTACTATACGCTGAATATATCGTAAATGTAAAAAATTAATTGTGACGGTACCTTTACAAAAATTGATCCGTGGTTGCAAATCCTTCGATAAAATGTATTGCACACGTTGAATAGATTTTTATTAAAACGTCTTAGCTCTCGCACGCTGTTACCAGACTGCGTACGCCAGCAGCACGCAACTACAGCTGAGCGGACATGTGAGTGTAATTATAGTGCGCAGGCGTCGAATTCACACGTACGCCGTAATTATGTGAAACTGGGTGTCGTGCATAATATCGGGATAACCGGTCCAGCAGTACGCCTTCGAGATGAAGAAAGGATTCTTGAAGCATTTTATCATCGTATCATTATCAACGTGTGCAATACATTTTATCGAGGGATTTTCAACCACGGATCAATTTTTGTAAAGGTACTGTCACCATTAATTTTTTACATTTACGATATATTCAGTGTATAGTAATGGCATTTTGAATAACTTTTAAATTGAGAGTGGAATAGGCCTATGGGGAAAACCACTATAAAAAAAGCGCACCATGCTATCTACCGCAAGGTGGTGTGGAAATGATAGCGCCATTCATTTTCTCGCCACTGAAAGGACGAGTCATTTTTCGGCGTGGTATTGCGATATATCGCAAACCACCATCATGTCTCGGAAAGCGACCCGCCCACCGCTTCGCCGCGCTCGTAGTATCGGATTATAGTGGGACGATTCTCGTCGCCGCGCGCTTCTACTCACGCAAATTGGCCGATCTTCTTTATTTAATATTTCATTAATTATTGCGACAATCCCAAAACAATACAGGTCATTCCTTCTTAATTTGAGCCTATCTACTTCTTTATTTCGTTAAGGTCGAAAATTGACGGATACCCTGTATATAAAGAGATATAGCTAAAGGAGAGCAATGATATTAGAATTATGTTTAAATATGTACGCAGTAAAGACAGATCTATGCTCTAAATTGCTTATGCGAGACGATAGAGTAGTGAAAATGCAACATATTTTTTGTTTCAATAAATACAATTAACACAATATAAAGAAAAGTTTTCATATTGCTCTTTTTAAAATATGCATGCTTTTTATATTAGATAAGATTGTCGGTAACATAACATTAAGTGTTGGTAATGTACCGACACTTTTAGTTATGTTAAAATGGGTGCGCCTACCCGTCGGAGTTCGGCTGCGACTCCGGCATCCTCTTAAACGTTACACTTTTTTTTTCTTTATTTTAACGCACAAACTCATCATATCAGGCAATCTTTCCAAGCGCACGTACAGTAATGATTTAGTTATTAAATCAGCAATTTAGTTTTCGCTTTCGAGATGTTCTATACTTAATATTCGTTTTATAAATCTTTCACACATAGAATAATGCCAAACCTTAATGTGCTTGGAACATTTGTAAGATTTTGAACTTTTATCAATTTTATTGTATTTTCTACAAACAATGTAAGAGTCTTTGAAAGTCCTGAAAGGATTTAACGTTTAACAATCTTGATAAGCATATTCCTTAGCGCCTTCGTTTGCAGCCACAAACAACTTCAATGATTGACAGGGCTATGGATCTTTGCTTTTGATTTGGCTAATTGCTCCACCATGATACTTGCTCACCATAGTGGATGTAGATCTCTTCGTTTGAGGATCTCCAATAAAATCTGCATCATTATATATCTTGTTGGTATTAATCTTTTAATTTAGTTATTTAGTTCATTTTGCAATCCGCGCTTCCTGACATGGTGGCGTTACTATCACCACTTCCGTTATCGTTTATTAGCTCGCGTAAGCTTCTCAAAACTATATGTACTCGATCACGACGAGAATGGCTTACCACCCAAGATACACCACGTTTTGTTAACCGTTCTTAATAAAGCTGCTTTTGCGAATTTATTCACATCTGATTTTATCGAAAAGCCCTAACATATCTCAAGTATTCTTGATTCGCTTGATTCGCATGTTGTTTTATATAGCAAATCAAATCCAATATTGCATCGTAAATATTTAACTGATATCCAGTTTATTTGATTTATTTAATTTCTGGACCGTTATGCTGACAGCAAAAGCAATGTCTGATCTCGTTGTTGTCATTAAATATATAAGACAACCAACGGCTTTCTCTATATGGAATTTCAATTGCAACATCCTCTGTATTCGCTGATGCAGCCTCTGTTATTGCAGGAAATACTTTGTTAGCCTCGGCCTTATTGAAGCGCTCTAAAATCTTCTTATTGTTAGTAAAACTGATGAATAAAAATAAAGCTATCTCTTTCACATTGAATTTTCATACCCAGAAAGCAGTCCAAAGAATCAACTGTGATCTTAAACTCATGTCAAAATTCCTCCAAGAATTGTTTTTATTTGATTGTGAGAGTCAGCTATGACTTTATGATTCATAATTCATCATCTACATAAATGGTTAATAGTAGTTTCTAACCATTTGCTTTCCATATAATAAACAGATTTGTCGCTAAGATTTACGTAAACTTTGAATTTCTTTAGAAAAATCACAAACTAAGTATTCCAGCAGCTAAGTGATGAAGCTTGTTTCATCTATACTATCTATCAATTTCTTGCCTTTTGGTAAGGTTCCAGACATTATTCTCACGCAGAGATTTTATTTTTTCTTCCATTGCTTTTCTCCAATGTCTTCTATTATATGTCTTTATAGCATCTTCTTCATTAGATTCTCATCTCTTATTGCAGCATTGCAAAATTTCTGATTGAGCAAAATTTATAGACATTCTAGCTATTTAAGCGCCCTTCAATCAGTAGATAATAATTCATCCTTTTCCTTGTGTCAATATCTATAGTCTTCTTGTGTTCATTATGTTACAGATGGATTCTGCCGCTCGTTAACCAAATAAACATAAAATATATACATATGTTTGTCTTCCTCCTACATACATCTTTACTGGAGGCTTGCCACGGCCCTATCGAGGTACATTCGCCACTGTTTTTTATCGGCACAATGAGGACAATATTGTTATTTACTAGAGAATCTTGAGAGATGGTGAGATAGAGACTTTATGGTGTTGTACTCATCGGTGCTGTTTCTTATGGAAGGTCGGAAGTCAACATGCAGTGCACGCGAATACCTCTATCGGCACTTATTTGATCAGCAAGCGACTTTTCAGGGGTCTTCCGTAGCAATCGGCATTGCATCCATCGTAGCGATTCTGTCGCTCATCCAGCGTATGGACACGTCTGACTTCCTCTCATATACTTTTCTATTTTTACTGAATGTCTTCTATTTATTATCTTCAAGTGTTGATTCTGTACTCGAGAATTTATCCTCTTCATAAGCCTCTTTGTTTATCTTCAATTGACAAACATTTCTAGGCACGGATAAACTATTTAACTATTCAACTTTTCTTGATGTGCATGTCGTTTCTAAGAGAAACTGAATATCTTGACTGAGTATCAATTTCTTCTTTGATGGAACATACACGATAACCATCTTTATTGCTGCAGTAACCAATTAATCTTTTGGTAATCTTTCCCAATTTTGACGTTTTTGTTTAGGAATATGAATGTAACAGGCTGACTGAAAAATTCGTAAGTGATTTATATTTGGTATATTTTTATCATACCATAAGTGATAAGGATTTTTGCCTTCCGTTGTTAAATCCGTCAGATTTCATAC